AAGAGTTATGATGCGCAAACCCCATTTTTTATTTTATAAAAAAACAGAATACTAAACACTCAGGAAAGTAAATTTACCTCAACCATGAGAACACCAGGCATAATAGGTCTCTCAGGAAAATGACCCGGAAAAAAGTTGTCATTTATAGTAACGTTCTTGATTCCGACCGCTGTAACACCTGCCTCATACTCAATCACCCTATCCACTAAAAGGAACGGAAACCTGAACTCCAAAACCAAAACAAAATTCAATCAAAATTGCATAATTAAACCTCCAATCGACCACATACTCCAAAATTATAACAAGAACAGAAATTCCTCTCACCGGTGTGGCAAGATCTCGCGGATCTGGTTGATGTCCATAATCGAGGGGAACGGCGGGAACTCTACAGATTACGTGAGCAGAAGAATAAAAAGTATCAGTAAAGAAAATGAAGGGAAAATGAAGGGTTCCTCCAATATTGGTCCTTCAATCTCACATCTTTCTACTACTACTACTGACAGCAAATTTTAATGGTTGGAGACAAAATTCAAACTTTATAAAGATTTCAGCGACTAACATCGAGGGAAAAAACCTAGGTTTAGTGAGAAGGGGTATAGAGCTTACGCTTCTCGATCGGAATCTTCTCCTCGACGGTGACAGCGCCATCGGAGGAGCTGCTCCGAGATATGGAGATGGAGAATTTAGGGTTTGAGGGAGAGATTGCGGATCGAGAGGGAGGGAGGAGGGGGAGAGCGGAGCGAGGGCGAGAGAGGGAGAAGGTTGAGTTGGGAGGGGTAAGAGAGAGGAGAGATCTCGCCATGGCTGTGGACTCCATTGAAGAGCGTGTGCGTGTGTGTGTGTGTGTGCGTGTTTGTGTGTGTTTGTGGGGAATTTGAAGAGGGGAGAAGAGCTCAGAGTGGGCGGAGGAATCGATAGAGTCGGGCGTTCGGCTGTGTTGGTAACGTTGGCTGGGATTTTAATGGGAGGAGGGCGGACGCATCGAAGTATCCGGTTGGATCACTCCCTACTTTGTTTCGAAATAGGAGGGGTAAACTTTTCAAAAAAAAGAAAAAGAAATAGGAGGGGTTAATTGCGCTAGAATGACCTATGGTTTCTTTTTCTTTTTTTTTTCTACTTAAAACTTGTAAGTGATCGTACTTGAACGACTAATACTATTTTTTCGTTAAAAAAGTTGATGCCGTTATATATTTCTCATAAAGACCACCCCCCAAATCCTCTATGCTATATGAGTGTATAAATGAGGAGTTCATTTGCAATTTAGACAATAGTAGAAAATAGCCTAATTCATCATCTTCTCTAAAATTATAATGCACTGAGCGCTTTAGCGACTTAGATCTCAGTTTGGATGGTACATTGACTCAATTCAAAGTGGAAGAAGGAGAAATTTGTACAATTTGCCTAGAGTTTAGGGCTAAGGTTTCATGTGTAAGTTAAATTTCTCAAATATTTTCCTCCTTCTTAGCCCCCCCCCACCCCACCCCCACCCCCACCCCCACCCAAATGCTTGATGTTCGGGCTTTGAACTTTTGAGCTCTCTTCATGGTTTTCTTGCATTGAATTGAGGAGGGACAATGTAAAAATGTTAGCTTTAGATCTAATTTGGGGGAGGAAGTAGAAGAAGATAACATAATTGTAGTTGGTTGTAAATTAATGGCATTTCAGAGGTAATAAAATGACCTAATAGTGTCACATGATCCCTCACATATGAATATTCCCAGCATCTTTTAACTGAACGTTAACATTTTAAACTTCTCCCTTGTCCTCCATTCCTCCACTTTCCTTTTGCAAATTCACTAAGGGAAGCAAGCACATGCAGGGTTGTCAAGCATAGGCTTGGTGGTTATGTTTCTGTGAATAGTTATTTGATACTTTGCATTCCACTTGTAGTTAATATTTCCAATACGAAGTTCGATTTTTGGAGGTGCTGAGTTAGGAATGTAGATGTTTGGATCGTGATTATTGCTCATTACTTGTTTGATGAAATGACTCGTAGAACTTTGGTTTCATAGAATATTATGATTGCAGTTTATGACCAAGAAATGAATGAATAAAAGCGGATGAGCCCTTTTGGTGTTAATAGGTTCTTTGACCACTCATCTCTTAAAGAGTCAACTCACTTGTAGATAGAGCCTAAGTGATTCTATCATTCAAAAGTTTTTTGAGAAATGCTATTTGGGCTCAATGGAGCTAGGGTTTCCCTTATAAAGAAAGACACTCTACCTTTTTTTCTCTTTACATTTATTGCTATTTGTCCTTGCCTTCCTCTAATGGGATGTGTTTTATCTAGTTGATGTTAGACTCTATTGTATATTAATTTCTACTTGTGTTCGACTCTATTGTATATTAACTTTACTCATTGCATGTTAAGTTTGTATAGCCCATATTTCACACCGGTCATGATAGGATATGCTTGGTGTCATATATTTTGAAACTTCTTTTCTTTCACATATCCTACATTGTTTCTTTTGCCCTTTTATCTCCTCCAAGCGAGGCGGTGCATAATGGAGATAAGCTTGGACCAAAGAACATTTGAATTCTTTCTTATTAGGACTTTTGCAAAGATACCAGAAGGAACATAATGATCACACAACACCATGAGCAAGTAATTCCCAAATGAAGTGGTAATTAATTTCCATATATCGAGAGCTAGCATGAAGATCGGATTGACTGTCGTACATAATGCTAAAAATATTGTCACAAGTAATCTTAGAGGTGACAATAAAGTGAGACCTTGCTTGTTGATGTCAGATGCTTAACAGTGGAATTTTATGATTGATTTTGAAGAGCTTAGGGTCCTTTGATCTCTTTTGATGGTTGATTCCCTGATAGAAAGAGAGTCCTGCACATATGCAATATGTTAGAGGATCGGACTTGAGTTCTTTAGTGATTCCTCCGACGATCAAGTTAGTTATGATCTAAAAGTGAGAAAGGAACTAAAATAGTTCTCTCTAAATGTGTAGAAATTATCTACCTTCATGCAATAGGCAACACGCCTATTTATCGTGGAATCTGAAAGGTGTCTGCGTAATCTTGGCCGAGTCCATGCAGTCGTCTTAGTCAACTGGTACTATATAGTTGTTGGTATCAGGTGATCCGAGTCATCCCCATATTTATTATGGCTACGACAGAGGGGCTGTGGTGTTAGTGCACTCCGATGAGTCATTATGACTCCAAAGGGAAATACAATGATGCCTTTGACTTTGTATTTAATGTTATGGTGGCTGGCTGTCGGCGAGGTAAGGTTTCCTTTCATCTCAGCTTTTCAAGGAGGCTGAGAAAAGATGCCTTTCGATCTGACCACTTGGATGAGAGGGCTTCTCGACTCGATCCACTGAATGACAATGTACGGAGCTGGTTTCAGCAGTAAGGTCCGAGTGAGGACGCCTTTTGACTCATCTTTCTAGGAATGAGCCAAGTGATAGCATCCTTTGGCTCGACCAGCATAGAGTTAGGTCAAATCAGTGTATAGTTAATCTAAGACATGTGCTATCTCCTGGAATGGGATTAACACTTGATCATTTCTAAGGCACAACACTGGCCCTTTTTGCTCGAACTCTGACGATCGAGTCCTAGTGAAATTGAATTGTTGTCTGTCAAGTTTCAAAGGCAAAATTATGAGGGGTCATTGATGGGTCGCTATTGACACAATGTTTCGACATCAGAAAAAATTGTGTGAATGCATCGCCTCGGTTCCTGAATGGAGATTGCATGCTAGTGCTAGTTAAAGCAAATGGCGCTTTGCTTACCAAGCGGTCGCCTCAATTTTTGGGAGTCCTTACAGTCGTTCTTTGATAATTGAGCCAACCATTCACATCGACTTCTTTGCCTATATATACACCTGTTCTTTCAAGGGGTTAGTTTACTTCTTTGCCACGTGTTGACTTCTTTGCCTATATATACATATGTTCTTTCAAGGGGTTAGTTTACTTACTTTCAAAATCCTAGAGTTTTCTCCACAGTTTTCTGAGCAATTTCAATCATCTTCAGTCCTTTCTACGGCAAGTAGTGGCATCTTTAGTTTTTGCCACCATTGGTTGGAATGAAACTCAGATCAACTTGCTTAGAAAATTCCACTTCAAGGTGCATTCGATGATGCTTGAATAAAATTATGACAGATTTGACATACCCCATGGTTTTCCTCTGTCGGCATTGGAGAAAATGCAAGCTGTATATGATCACGACGGCAACATCGCTCCAGTGTATATCAAGTACTTGGAGTATGGTTTGCACCTTCCGCTTCATCCTTTCCTCTACCAAACTTTGAATGTTTTAGGGGTATCTCCATCACAGATCAAATTGAACTTCATAGCTACGCTGGTGGGGTTCATTGTCATCTGCTATCGGGTGGGAGTCGAATCGACTCTGAGGATCCTTGGCCATCTGATCAGCGTCAAGGTTAGCAAGGCCAAGGGCCACTTTTATTTCCAGAACTTGGGTAGTTTGAAGGTGATTTCCAACCCTCTCAAGTTAAACAGAGATTGGTAAGAGAAATTCATGTTGGTATTCCATGCCGATGCGATCTTGGCATGTTCAGCCTGGCTCGAGATTAATAAGGAAATTTTGAGGCCGGGTTTTCTTTCGAACGAGGAGAAATGTGAGCTAAACAAGATCCAAGCCTACACTAGGTCTTGGCAGAGTGAGAACTTATTCAACTTCTCAGTATTTCGGGTTGTTGGCAGCTCCGGAACTCCACCGACTGAAGAGGATAAAGCTTGAGCAGTAGTATTAGTGCTACAGTGGGAGGAGCCTAAATCATCTAAGGCGGGACCCCCAGCAAGGCCCTAGAAGTGCCTATGGTATGATTTAGCCCCAAAGGAAGCCAAGGAGATTGTAGCGAATATGGGTGAGATTGCGGCTTGGCTTGCTGGGCTAAGTTATACTACTGCTAAGACCAAGAGGTCTGAGAAGAAAAGAAGGCTGAGAAATATGGGCAACTGAGGCCCATTTGGGAGTGTTGAATATCTAAAAGAGTAGGTTGGAGCTATAATAGAGGTGGATACACCCTGTTCTACATAGAGGGGCATGACGAGTTAGCTATCAAGCAAGACCCTTATCCCCCAGGAAGCTGTAGAAGAAGACGCTTCTGATGTTCCCACCTAGAGGCTTCTCTGGTCATGCCTTCGAATGTCATCATTGTCAATGAACGAGTCCCTACAAGAGAAAAGGGGACCGAGATCATCACGACCAAGCCCAATAGGGTCAAGGCTCAAGTGGAGGGGGAGGCATCTCCTGCTCATGAAGAGAGGTTTGCGTAGCCCTTCCTCCACTGCATCGATGAACTCCTTTTGGATGTATGGACCGAGTTAAGGATGCTTCTGATGGGGTCACCAGAGGTCAGCCCTCAGTATGATAAGGAGCATCCAGAAGAGCATCGATTTGTTCCTAGGCGACATCTCAATAAAATATCATTAGTCTTGGAATCGAGGATAACTCAGGCCAGGGCTCTAGAGTAGTTCACACTGCCCCGTGACAATGAAATCCTCTTAGCCATGCTATATTATGGCCTCCATCAGACCCTCAAGAGTTACATGCTTTGAGGGGCTTTAGTAGAGCAGGAACTGTATGCTCGATTCGATCATGTACGATCTATACCCCAAGCTTCAAGAAGAATTTGAAGTTCAGAAAGTTGCTTGTGAGGTAGCCGATTTGGCTGCTAGTGAGGACGAGTTGTTGGCCTAGAGGAGAAGCTAGAGTAAGTGAGGAAGGGAGTTAGAGATGCGAGATGACAAAATTAAGGGCTTGCTTAGTACAATCAGCCAGAAGTCATCTTATATCAATAACCTCCATTAGGACCTCCGTCATCTCGATTATGAACTTCATGAGCGAGATGATAAAATAAAGTACCTAACAAAAGAGGTTGAGGTTGAGAGGCGGGAAAACTCTAGCAATCTCGACTAGCTCATGAGAATGCTAAGGATCTAAGGGATCATTTGAAGGAGGAGCTCATGAGAAGCTGAGGCAAGAGTTCAAGCGACATCGTGAGTCATCTTGTCTAGAGAAGTAGTAGATACAATGTC